TTCTGTTTTTAAAAATTCCATGTAAACACTTAATTCTTAATGAAAATGATAATTCGGAATTAAACTTAAATCCCAAAGTCAGTGTTTTCTTTTATTCAGATTTTTTCGCTGAATGAATTTCTTTCCTGGATCATGTTTCTCGTTTATTCTTGTTCAAAATAGTGTGGGTGCTCCACCGTGTTTTTAAACTCCGCTCGCCTTCACTAGAAACATCCGGATCATTTTTTCAGATCTGGAATTACGTCACAAAACAGGAAAACGTTTGGAAACACGCGACGAAAACTTTTCTTTGAGCTCTTCTGTTCGTAAATCTGACAAAATCTTGGAAAAACAAGAGAAAATGTCGCAGTTTTCTTCATTTACATGTCACTTGTCACGTTTAACTGCAAATAAAAATAATTTTAATCTGAATAAAAATGATTTCTGCTTTTAAAATTCCATGTAAACACTTAACTCTGAATGAAAATGATGATTCAGAATTAAAGTGTTTAGTTTCTTCTGATTTTAAAGCTGAATGAATTTCGTTCTTGGATCATGTTTGTCGTTTCTTCTTGTTAAAAATATCGTGTCGTTCTTCTGACGCGTCGATCCGGACGATCCGGCTCCTCCAGTCGTGTCTCTTTGGATGTGGGAGTGGGCTGAGGTAGAATTCCAGATGATTCCGAACACCGCGTACGTCTGCAGTTTTTGTTTTCCCGCTGAGCTCGTTTACTCCGGCGGGTTTGATTTACAGCTGGAGTCGGGAAAAACACCGGAACTTTCACCGCGTGTTTCCAAACGTCCTGGTTTTAGACGTAAAAGTGAATAGAGTTTGTTGAAGTAAACGTGATCAGCGGTAAATTCCTGTTTGGAATCATCTGGAATTTGGCGCCTCGTCTCTTCTAATCGTACGTTAACAGTTCCAAAAGCTCGGCCCACTCCCGCATCCCGCTCACAAATCCAAAGAGACGTGGATCAAAGTCCAGAGACACGACTGGACCAGGACCAGGACCAGGACCAGGACCAGGACCAGAAGGACGACACGACGAGCACGAAGCACCAACAGCATTTCAACAAGAAGAAACGAGAAATAAATTCATTTGGCTTTAAAATTGGAATAAACCAAACACTTACTTCACTATTAAATTTGATTCTGAATGATCATTTTCGTCAGGACTTAAAGGTTGTATGGAGGATTTTTTTTTTTTTTGTTTCAAATTGTCAGTGAAAGTTTAAAATATCATTACAGAGACGCAGCAGCCTTGGAATTATGACCAAAAAAAAAAAAAAAAAAAAGAAAATTGATCAACTGTGGACGTGTTGAGACCAGATAAACATCAGCCAATAGAAAACGAGGCTGCCTCATTTTCTATTGGCTGTTGGGTCGTCAATCAAACTCCCTACATTTCTAGTGTAACTGACTCGTTGGGTTTACGTCGTTTATGCGGCGTTTTTTAGAGGCTTTTTTAAACTGTCGCTTCCTCGCAGTTCGCACAAAGTTTGTCGCGACGTCGGACGAGAATCCACGACCAGTTCGCCGCGAAAGAAAGTCGGTTTTTGAGGTCGATGAAAGAAGAAGAGAAGAAGAAAAGGAGCGGAGACAAACTGAGGTGATTCTTGGAGATCTCGTCCAGCGATGGCGCGAATGAAGGCAGACGAAGGGTCGAAAAACTAAAGACGCTTCGGTCGATGAATTAATTCTAGACAGGAAACTTCAACAGTGATTCTGAACGAGGCTGTAAATAAGTGTGATTTTTAGAGTAAAGAAGCGGGAGGAGGAGATGTTTCTACTGAGGAGCTGTGGAGGAGGAAGGTGGAGTCACACATGCACAACGTTTGAAAAAAGAAATGTCGCTGTATTTGTCTTCCCTTAAAAATCCTCTGTACAAACTTTAAACTCTTTGTGTTGTGTTTTTGTATGAAAAACTTTCTATAAATAAAGTTTGATTTGATTTTAAATGTTGATATGTTTGGGGTTTTTTTAAAGCCGAGTTGTCGTCGTCTGTTTCCAAACGTTTTTTTTCTGGTTTGTGACGTCAGCGTGAAAAGACTCGATCTCGACTGAACTGAAGGGAAAAGGAGCTGAGAACTTGGAAACCGCCACTTGATGACATCACGAGGTGGAGCAGAGCGTTTGGAGTTTTGCAGATGTAACAGACTCAAAACTGAAGTCGAGTTGTGTGTGAGGAGGAACATCAGAACATCAGAACATCAGAACATCAGAACATGAGAAGATGAGTTGAAGTTGACGGGCGTCGGGTTTGTGTGATGCAGGAGCTTTAAACGAGTCGGCGCTCGGTCCAGTTCAATCCGTGTGTCGTTCGTTCATTCGTTTTTTCAACATAAAACCAAAAATAAGAAAATGAAAAAACAACAGTTTTCTTCATTATTTGTCTCTAAAACCAAAATAAAAAACAGATAAAGATTTGTTTTTTCAGTTTTTCGATTTTGTGTTTAAATGAAAAATGGAAAAAACAGATAACGGTCGTTTCCTGTTTACGTGACTTCAGTGACTGTGATGCCGAACTGAACCAGGACTGATCCAGGACCAAGACCAGACCGGGACCAGAGCGGGACCAGAGCAGGACCAGAGCGGAGTCCGAGCTTTGACTCCGAGCCTCAGCTTCAAGCTCCGGTCCTGCTGTGGGCTCTGAGCCTCTGGTCTGGTCCTGGTCTGGTCTTGGTCTGGTCCTGGACCTGGTCCATTTGAACCAAAAGCTCTTAGTTCAGTTTGTTTTCGTTGGTGTGAAAGTGTCGTGGTTCTTGAGTGTGGAGGACCGGAGCAGCCTGTCCAGACCTGGAGTCCACAGAACATTCTCACTTTCCCCACACAGAACCAGCGCACAGACAATGACTCGGAACCAGTCTGGTCCCGGTCTGGTCCTGGTCTTGGTCCTGGATCAGTCCTGGTTCAGTTCGGCATCTCAGTCACTGAAGTCACGTAAACAGGAAACGACCGTTATCAGTTTTTTCCATTTTTCATTTAAACACAAAATCGAAAACTGAAAAAACAAATCTTTATCTGTTTTTTATTTTGGTTTTAGAGACAAATAATGAAGAAAACTGTTGTTTTTTTCATTTTCTTATTTTTGGTTTTATGTTGAAAACCGACTGAACGAACGACACCTGGATTCGGTTCTGTTCTGTGTTTTGGTTTTGGTTCTGTTCTGCGAGCGCTGAACTGCTTATGTCTGGTTCTGGATTAAACAAAAAAAACAAAACACGTGAAACTTTTACACTGCAAAAAAAAAAAAAAAAAAAGAGAAAAACAAAAGAAAAATAGAGAAAAACGACAGAATTACAGAGAAAATCGTCTGAACTCGTGAAAATGGTTTTGCGTCGTGTTCACGTTTTTAGACTTTGATCTCAGACGGTGGGCGGGGCCTGCTGATACTTTGCGGTGACATCACTCTGGGGGGGCTGCACATGTGTCTCTATGGAGGAATGTTCAGCGTTGACCAGGATTTTTCAAAATAAAAAACTGTGACACTCTCGGTTTGTGGTAATAAATAATATAAACTTGTGAACGGAGTTAACGCACAAACGCAACAAATGTTTTGGTTTTTTTCCTCGGTCGGAGCGGCGACATTTTACGCTTTTTTTCCCAACATTCCGTCATTCCAGCACGAGGAATTATGACGCTGTGGCAGCGATTTTTTTTGGGACAATATTTTACACAGACTGACAACAAAGAAGGAGCACGCAGCCTGGTTTAGACCTGGTTTAGTCCTGGTTTAGTCCTGGTTTAGACCTGGTTTAGACCTGGTTTAGACCTGGTTTAGTCCTGGTTTAGACCTGGTTTAGTCCTGGTTTTAGTCCTGGTTTAGTCCTGTTTAGTCCTGGTTAGACCTGGTTAGGTTTACGTCCTGGTTTAGTCCTGGTTTAGACCTGGTTTAGACCTGGTTTAGTCCTGGTTTAGACCTGATTACATCCTGTTTGAGACCTGGTTTACTACTGGTTTTAGTCTTGGTTTTGGTCCTGGTTTAGTCCTAGTTTAGTTCTAGTTTAGACCTGGTCTTAACCTTTTTTAGACCTGGTTCAGACCTGGTTAAGACGTGGTTTAAGTCCTTGTTTAGACCTGGTTTATGTCCTGTTTTAGACCTGGTTTAGACCTGGATTTAGTCCTGGTTTTAAACCAAATTTTAGACCTAGTTTTGGTTCTAGTTTAGTCCTGGTTTAGACCTGGTTTTAGTCTTGGTTTTGGTCCTGGTTTAGTCCTATTTTCATCCTGGTTTAGTCCTGGATTTAGACCTGGTTTTAAATCTAGTCTTAGGTCTGGTTTTAGTTCTGGTCCACGTGACGTTTGGGAGAAAATCTTCAGTCGACTTTCCGCTCGTTAAACGTTGAGATCAGAAAAACACTGATGTTCCACAAACACGAGGAGAAAAAAGTGACGTTCCAAACTGTGAACAGGAGTCAGAACGGCAACGTAAAAAAGTGCCGGAATGACGGAAAATCAAAAAATGACGGAATATCGGGGGGGGGGGGGGGTCTGTTGGAATAACCGTTGTATCCTGAAGAAGAATCCAGCAGAGATTTAAAGAGCTCGTGTTCATGTTTCTGTTCCCGTCAGTTGAAGTGTGGTCAGACAGAGCAGTGCCTCCTGTTAGCGTCACAGCCCCAGAGAAAAAGGACGAATCTGCAAAGTATCAGCAGGATTTTCTACAGTTTTCTGACGTGAACTCGTTTATCCACGTCTGTTCAGTTTGTACGACCAGACTTTTGTTTCAAGGTTGTTGTTTTTTTTTTGTGGATTTCAGTTTTTCTTGTTTTAACAGATTTTTTTTTTTTTTATATTTGATTTGATTTTCTGTCCATTTTTATTATGACTTATTATTTTTCTTGCGTTTATTTTGTTGACGTGTTAAAGCTACGATCTGTGAGGTTTTTATGACAGGTCAGGTGAGGTCAGGTGCAAACAGGTGAGGTCAGAAGAACACAGGGGGTGAGGGGAGGAGGGGCCTCAGGTGGAGGGGTCAGGTGAGGTGAGGGACTTCAGGTAAGGGGGGGAGGGAGGGTCAGGTGAGGGGAGGGGTCAGGTGAACAGGTTTCACATCTATCATTTCCCGGTTAAATAAATCAAATAAAGTTTCAGATTGTAGCTTTAACTGAACATTTCTTACTCTACTAGAATTTAAAGATTCTGACGCAAAACTGACTCCTGTGAACTTTAACTCATGTTCTAATGTTTCCTCCTCAAAAACACACACCTGGAGTTGTCTTTTTAATTTAATTTCATTTATTTTTATTCTATTTTATGATAATTTATTAAACTGATCACTTCTTTGTTTATTTTTGTGTTTTCTGGATGATATTTTTATTGTTCTTTGCTGCTCGTTTTCAAATAAAACATTATTATTGATTATTATTATTTTTGTTTCATTCACATGTTTGAGTAACTCGCTCCGTTCCACCTCGTGATGTCATGAAGTGGTCGTTTTCCCAAGTTCTCAGCTCCTTTTTAGTTCAGCCGAGATCGGTAAAAGAAACTCCAGAACTGGGAAAAAAAAAAAAAAAAAAAGATTCCAGTGAAGGTGTGTGGAGTTTGGAGCTTCGTAGGACCACTTCATGACATCACGAGGTGGAGCAGAGTGTTTTCCGTCAACAAAACACAACTCCAGGTCCGAGCGCGCGACGAGGAAACGGAAATGTCGTAGTAAAAGATGAAATTTTAACTCTGAAATACACGAAAAACACCTTGAAACAAAAGCGCGAAAACAAACCGACCGACAAATAAATAAAAATAACAGTAAAAGTAAATTCATGTTCAGCTCGTTAGAAAGATTTGTTTGCAGCGTCGAGTCAAGAATCCTGGAGACGTGAGTTCCGTTTTGTTCAAAAGGACTCCAGTTGGACTTGATTTTTTTCGAAGGTCTTCAAAATTCTTTAAAAAAAAAACAACAAAAACACACATTATGCTTTCGAGCGGCTCCGGTTTTGATTTTAAACCTGCTTTTGGTCACCTCGAGGTCAGGATTTCACCTTTTATAACTTAAAATAAAGTCTGGAAAGTTCATAAAGTACAGATTTAAAGTTTAAAATGTAAAAGTTTTAGTATTTTAGTATTTTTTAAGGGCGATGTTGATATGGTTTAGAACGAAGCGACGCAACTCTGACGAAATTTTGTGGGTCAAACACGAAATCAGAAGTTAATTTCTTGTTGTCCTTAACTAACTCAAGTATCTTATCCTTTTCTTTCTTATTCATTTCTTTAGTTTATTTATTTTTTTGTGGTTGAATTGTGACTCTGAAGTGTGATCGTTTTCGTCTGTTCGGTGTTTTTGTGCAGCACTTTGGAGTTTTAAGTTTTTAAAGTGCATTATAAATAAAGTCAGTGTGGTGCGGCTGATTTAAATTCCGTTATTTAAATTTACAAAAACTCCTCCACAGCCCTTAAACCGAGGGACTGGCATGTAGTGACTCGAGTCAGACCTGAGTCACTATTTTTCGGACTTGAGACTTAATAAAACAGACAAAAACTTGGGACTCGATTTGGACTTGGGAAAATTCTATGCTTCTCCTAAAAATAAATGTATTAGTTTTAATAAAAGACTTTTCTCTTTACAGTTGATAAATGCGACGCTGAATTTTAAAAGGAACAAACTGAATCCGTGTGTCGTTCGTTCATTCGTTTTTCAACATAAAAAATAAATGAGAAAAAGAAAAAAATATAACTATTTTCTTCATTATTTGTCTCCAAAACCAAAATGAAAAAACAGATAATGATTCGGGTTTTTTTTTTTTCTTCAGTTTTCAATTTTGTGTTTAAATGAAAAATGGAAAAAAAAAAAAAAAGGAGAACGGACTGAACCAGGACTGAACCATTTTCAGTCCTGGTCTTGGTCTCAGTCTCAGTCTGGTCTCAGTTCTGGTCCCAGACCTGATTCAGTCCTGGTTCAGTTCGGCATCGCAGTTTAAGTCACGAAAACGAGAAACAGTCACACGGATTGATTTGTTTTTTCAGTTTTCGATTTTGTGTTAAAATGAAAAATGGAAAAAAGCGGATAACGGACTGAACCAGGACTAAACCAGGACTAAACCAGGACTAAACCAGGACTAAACCAGGACTAAACCAGGATTAAACCCGGACTAAACTGTTTTCAATCCCGGTCTCAGTCCCGGTCTCAATCACGGCCTGGTCCTGGTCTGGTCTTGGTCCCGGTCTGGTCCCAGTCTCCCCTTGGTTTAGTCCTGGTTCGTCCATCGTGTGTTCGGCATCTCGATTGTTTCTTCTGCTCAGTAAATAAAGTCTTTGAGGTGATTTCAGTCGAGTCGCGTCTGTTCGTTCGCGTTCGTCCTGAAGAAAGCGAAACCGTTTTCATTTCATTTCATGATTTTTCACGATTCATTTCATGATTTGTGTGTGTGGTTTATCTCGGGCTCGGGCGGGTAACGCGCGAGTGCGACGCTGGACTGCGCGGGTCTCCAAAAACGGACTCTGTACAACGCCGTTTTCCAGGAGTTTTACAAAATACCTTTGACGAAACAAAAGCGAAACATGATTCCAGGTTTGTTTTTAACGAGGCGACCGCGGTAAAGCAGGTTTAAAAACGTCTATTTTGCATAATGTGTGTTCTTTAAGTTTCTCTCAGCACGTCTTTTGTCTTTGCCTCGTGTCTTTGCCTCGTGTGTCCCTCTGATCTCCGACAAACGTCCTCTCGGCGAACGCTCCGTCGTTTTTTTTTTATACAACATTAAAGCAGGAAGTGTTTTAAATAGTTCATGCCTCCCTGCGAGAAAACGAGAGTAGTTTTAAATAAAGGAACGGGTGGGGTCGGCCCGGTAAGTCCTCTGGTGTCCGTCAGACCCTCACCCTGGTCCCCCTGGTCCCCCTGGTCCCTCTGGTCCCTCTGGTCCCTCTGGTCGTCCGCTGTGCTACGCCATGTATATGAAGGTGTTAATATCAGTCTCGTCCCTCTTGATGTACTTGTGGTCTATGAGCCACTCGATCTGCTCCTTGATCATCTTCTTCTGTGGTAAAAACATGTTCTTGAGGATCTCCACCAGCTCCGTCTGCAGCTGCGCGTTGTTGATGCGTTTCCTCATCTTCATGATCTGGATGATGGCCTCCTGCAGACACACGGGCGACAGGGAAAGGTCACGGGTCACTTTTTTTTTTTAAATATACAGCGATTTTTTTCCACTTTCAAGGCTCTCGAAGCTCCTCACAACAAGGAACCGCTCACACACACACACACACACACACACACACACACACACACACACACTCACATACATAAAAGGGTTAGTTTTAATAACAAAATTAAGCAAAAATCCAGGCGAGGACAAATGTACTAAAACTGCCCTCAGGTCTGGAAGGGTTCAAGTGCCTACGATAAGTTTTTGATGATTTTCTGGCTGCTCAGGTAAAGTATTTGCTGCTGTCCCTGTGTAGAGTCAGAGTGTTTATAGTGATATTTGCAGTATTTTTAGTGATATTTGCTGCTGTACTGGTGTAGTGTCCATGTTTATAGTTGAATTTGCAGTGTTCATAGTGACATTTGATGGTGTACCTGTGTAAAGTCTGTGTTTACAATAGTATTTACAGTGTTTATAGTGACATTTACAGTGTTTATAGTGGTATTTGATAGTGTACCTGTGTAGAGTCGGTGTTTTTAGTGGTATTTACTGTGCTTACAGTGACATTTGCAGTGTTTTAAATGGTATTTACGGTGTTTATAGTGATATTTGCAGTGTTTGTGATATTTTCATTGTTTATAGTGGTATTTGCAGTGTTTATAGTGGTATTTGTAGTGTTTTTAGTGGTATTTGCAGTTTTTACAGTGATATTTACAGGGTTTATAGTGGTATTTGATGGTGTACCTGTGTCCTCAGTGCTTTTAGTGACATTTGCAGTGTTTTTAGTGTTCTTTGCAGTGTTTATAGTGATACTTGTAGTGTTTAAAATGTTATTTGTAGTGTTTTTAGTGATATCTGCAGTGTTTACAGTGGTATTTGATGGTGCACCTGTGTCCTCAGTGTTTTTAGTTGTATTTTCAGTGTTTATAGTGATATTTGAAGTGTTTTTATTCTGTGTTTTTAGTGGTATTCGCTGGTGCACCTGTGTCCTCGGTGTTTTAGTGGTATTTGTAGTATGTTTAGTGGTATTTGTAGAGTTTTTAGTGTTATTTGTAGTGTTTTCAGTGTTATTTGTAGTGTTTTTAGTGTTATTTGTAGTGTTTTTAGTAGTATTCGCTGGTGTACCTGTGTCCTCGGTGCTTTTAGTGTTATTTGTAGTGTTTTTTGTGGTATTTGTAGTGTTTTTAGTGTTATTTGTAGTGTTTTAGTGTTATTTGTAGTGGTTTTTGTGGTATTTGTAGTGTTTTTAGTGTTATTTGTAGTGTTTTTGGTGGTATTTGTAGTGTTTTTAGTGTTATTTGTAGAGTTTTTAGTGTTATTTGTAGTGTTTTTAGTGTTATTTGTAGTGGTTTTGTGTATTTTGTAGTGTTTTTGGTGGTATTTGTAGTGGTTTTTGTGGTATTTGTAGTGTTTTTAGTGTTATTTGTAGTGTTTTTAGTGGTATTCGCTGGTGTACCTGTGTCCTCAGTATCCGTAGCTGTACGATGCCTTCGTTCTCCTCTTCTCTCATCCTCTCGGTGGTGAGCTGCAGGCGTCCGATCAGGTTGATCTTTCCGCGCTTCTGGACTTTAGAGTTTTTTCTGACCAAAACAAAATCCCACAGAGTTACCCCGTGTCCTGTCAATCATCACTTCATCTCTGCACGTTTTCCTCATGATCTCTTCTATAAAACTCAGATATATTTGAATTTATTTATTTTTATATTTTAGAACAAGCGTTTGATGAAGCCTCCACCAGAAAAGTTACACACGCAGCTTAAATCTGAGTTTATAAGAATAAGAAATTTTTAAAAAAGGATCTTACATGAGTGAAAATTCTTGGTTTACAAAGAAGAGCGTTCCCTCTGCGAAGTCCTTGGGTGAGGAGACCACAGGGTCATAACATAACACCTGACGCTTTAGTTTTGGAAAAGCCACCAGGGACTAAAAGAAAAGAACAAACAAAAGAAATGAGCTGATGTGAAATACTCAGAATAATAACTCCACTCGTTTAACACTGAACAGTGTAGATTGTAGTTTAACAGCATTTTCTATTGTTCTAGTCTGTTTTTGGCTTTGGCAGGTTTTCAGGCTTCAGGAAAATCAGCTTCATGGAGAAATTTGTTAATCACTGCATTTAAAGGTTTGTGTTAGACTATTTCCTGATCTCTGTTCAAACAAACTAACTCCCTGAGTGTTCATGGACCCGTGTGAGCAGATCACTTTTAATCTTAGGCTACGTTCAGTCTGCAGGTTTAACGCTCAATTCCAATTTTTTTGTGAAATCTGATGTTTTTTCGAGGTCGTTCACATTTCCAGTTAAATGTGACTTGTGTGTGACTCCAGTGTGAACATTAAACGGCCCAAAAGTGTCCCACATGTGCACATGAGCGTCTGAGATCTGACAGGATCAGGCTTTCACAAACCGCTCTGACCACACGCAGCACAAAACCACAAAGACAAAAAGCGGCTCCCGTCCTGCGTGTGGGCGGCTCTGCGGGCGGCTCTGCGGGCGGCTCTGCGGGCGGCTCTGCGGGCGGCTCTGCGGGCGGCTCTGCGGGCGGCTCTGCGGGCGGCGCTCTGGTTTTGCCTGTGGCCTTGTCGGTGTCCTGTCGGCTCGTGAGGACCTGTCACTCTGAGCAGTGGACACTCTGACCCACGGTGATGTCCACACTCACCTGTCCACACTCACCTGTCCACACTCACCTGTCCCACACCTGTCACTGTCCACACTCACCTGTCCACACCCACCTGTCCACACTCACCTGTCCACACTCACCTGTCCACACTCACCTGTCCACACACCTGTCCACCTGTCCACACCCACCTGTCCACACCACCTGTCCACCCCACCTGTCCACACTCACCTGTCCACACTCACCTGTCCACACTCACCTGTCCACACTCACCTGTCCACACCCACCTGTCCACACTCACCTGTCCATCCTGAATCTGTCAGATTGGTCGTTCTCTGTTCATCAGTTCATGTTAGATTTTATTTTATGAGCTGTAAAGAATCTGACGTGTGCTGAACGTCTGGGCAGAGTGTGATCTTAGAGAGAACACTGACCTGGAGTTGTTTTTTGTTTTTATATTTATTCCTCTTTTCTTTGTTGTTATATTTTATTGTGATTCTAAGTCTGGTTTTATTTGAGGATCTTGTTAAACAGTTAAATTCACTTCACCTGTCGTGCTCCAGTCAGATCTTTACGGTCAGATTGTCTAAGTTGAGATGTTCAGACAGAGCAGTTCTTACAGTTAACGTCACAACCCCCAAAGAGTGTTGATCTGTACAAGTATCTGTACAGTTGCCCCGGCCTGTAGCGCCCCCCGCAGGTGCAGTTACCCAGAGCGTCCTCCGGAGCTCGGCGTCCGGCAGCTCCGTCGCCAACTTCAGGTTCTCGAAGCTGATCCTCTCCCGCGGCCGCTGGTTCCAGGCGAAGAGCACGGCCAGCTGGAACGTGGTCACCTCCAGGTCGTACTGGCCCACCTCGTTCTTAAACGTGATCTGCACAAACACACACAAGAAACGCGCACACACACACACACACAGAACCACAACAACACACACAGATTCACTTTCAGAAGGTTTCACAAACATTACAGCTGAAACTAACGATTCTTTTAATACAGTGGTGCTCAATACGTCGATCCCGATCTACCAGTCGATCTCCAAGGTCGTGTGGGTAGATCGTCGTGTCTCGTTTGGACTCGCGTTTGGACTCGGTCTTGTCTCTCACTCGAGGTCTGACACTCAACAAGTGTGATCATATTTCATTGCGGCCGCTGCTGTTGGTAATAAACTTGTAGCGGGTGCAGGAGCGTGTGGGGCGTCTCAGTGCAGCCTGTGCGCTCATTTGAAACCCGCGGAGACTCTACGGCGCATCACAAACACACACGCTCCCTATGCACGGCTCGTCTGCGACAGCGTGTGCCCTCGTGTACCAGCGTGCATCACAGGGCAGGTTCAACTTCCTAAACATCCTACCTGTCCACCTGCCTCACGTCAGCACGCCGCCCCTCGCCTTTTCACGCTCTCGCTCCTTCCTGCGTACAGCCAACACAAGCCCCTCCCACAGTGCGGCTGATTAGAAGAACAAGACCAAACGTGAAGCAAAAACCAGTCTAAATTTGTGTTCCAGTGTTGGCACAAAGCAGGTCTACAGCATAGAGCGGATCTACAGAACAGACCTACTGCCACATTTGGCTGAAGTTTGTCTAACAAAAGTGACAAATGCATCTGTGTTTGTCACGATGTGCGTTTGGTTTGGTAAACGTGCAGAGGCTGGAAAATATCACTGCAAAACCACAAAAGAATGAAACTCCAGTTTGGAACTTTAAAAAAACAGGTTTAAAAATCTTCCTTCACTTTTTTCACAGTTTTGTGTAAAGTGCCAGAGGAAGTTCTCTTAAAGAAGAGGTTCTCAAACTGTGGGGGAGGGTCCAAAAAAGGGGCACAGAGTG